ACTTAGCCAAGATCATAATCATTATAATACAAGGCAAAATATAAGTACCATTTGAGAAGCAAAAAAAAAAAAAAAAAAAAAAAAAAAGATGCCAAGAGAGTTTAAGGGAGAGAGGTGACATTTGTAAATAATATCATTCTTCAAGGAGGAGGCATTTGAGAAAAAATCATGTAGGGTTTTGGCACACAGAGATGAGGGAGGGTAATGCAAATGGAAGGAACAGCAGAGACCCCAACACACAGAGAGGAATGATGGGGTTTGTTCAGGGAGCAGAGAGCAGGTGGTGGCTGCAGCTGCTGATATACGTAGAGAGCAGGAGAGGGGAGTGAGAAAAGCAGACCACTTGAACCTCTCTGGGGAGGGCTGCATACTGGGGGGTGAGGAGTCCTTATTAAACATGCTGCACAGTGGGGAGTCGGTGTGAGGCTTTGCACTGGGAGGTAACATAAGCAGGGTTGTGTGCTGAAAAGACAAATCTGGCAAAGATTGTTGCAGAGAGCGACTGAAGGCGTGGGCAGGGCAGGGTGTCTGAGTCACCAGATTCCACCTCTGCTGGCTTCCAGGTGAGCTGAGTTCTCCTCCAGAGCACATTCCGGAGCAACGAGAGTCCTTTGTAGTTGGTGAGGTTTGCAGTGCAACAGGGCCCTCTACAGGCGTCTTGGTGATTAGACTCGGAGGAATTTAGATGAGGAAAGATCTTAAAATTAATACAAAGAACAAAACCTGAGGCTTACAGGCTCATAGGACCCCTGAACTGGCAGCCAAAGGGACAAAAGCAGGCTGGGTGTTCAGGGCACACCCGTTCTAACCAAAGGTATGGGAGAGATAGGGCCAGTGCTCTAAATCTGTTTTTCAAAAGAAGCTAGATTTTTATAGCAAAACATCTTGGACTCTAAATGTGGGCTTCAATAAGACAAACATCATGAGGGATAAAGGAAATAGGTCTGTGGGCTGAATCTGCCTTACAGGCTTCACATGTTCAACATACAACTTCCAACTGGGAAGGGAATGTATAAGTCATCTTTAGAATCTGACTTCTCCACTTAACAGACTGGAAGGTCAGATCCAAAGGACCCAGCAAAGTTATCAATCACATAGCCAGACGAGAGCACTGTTCATTTGAGTGTCAATCTATTGCACAGGTGTATTTAATGTTGTTTCCAGTTGTGGTCCTGAGCTGAACCACCACTACTTACTGGTTTCCTCCAAGGTGAATGTGGGGCTAGCGTGGGATTGAGGGTGATGTGGCGGGAAGGGAGTTGAAGAGACTTTACTGTAGATGTGTAAACCACTTGGATGCCTCACCCCTCATGCCCTCACCAACCTGAGCCAGGTGGGTCCCAGTTGAGGTAATGTCAGTGTCCGAGAACCCTTGCCCACAAGCTAGAATAGAATATTCCCAATATTTCAAGAGCATATTCCTTATCCCCTGAGCCATGCGGGTAAGCCAGGGTTCATTTACAGTCTAGAGTCCCTCCCCAGACTGTGCACTCGGCTGTCAGCAGGCACTGTGTGACACTGTTCTGGCCCCACCCTAGGGACGGTATGCACATCCTAATAATCTGCCGATGACAGCAGGGAATTTCTGTGGTTGATCTGTGACAAAGGTTATTATTTTATGTATCTTAAAGAAAGAACTATTTTTTTCATTTGCATACAGATCGTTTGGGTGTATCTCTAAGTTCACTAAGAAATTAATTCCCAATAGTGTATCTTCCATAAAATGTTGGGAAGCATTATCATGTAGAGCTCAGATGAGGAACTTTGACCTCAGATGCCCCTGGTTCAAGTTCTGTGATCTTGAATGAGTGATTTGCCTTCTTTAGGCCTCAATAACACAGAAGAATGGATTAATTAAAATAATGCAATTAATGCTTTCAAATATCGTAAGTGCTCATAGATGGTAGCTCTATTACATTATTGCTTCAACTAGATTTGGTAAGAAACTTAACATTGAATCAATATTTTTGTGCAATGTTAAAGATCTAGAGATGCCATTTTTTTCCCCAGAAAGATGTGAGGCCTAATTAAAATCCTCTTAAAGATCAAGAACATGCTACTTTGAAACCTGCTTGACTGTGGTCTTAATCAAATTTCAATCTAGATGACTTATGCTCCAATACTATCTGAGAAATAAAAATGACAAAAGCCATAAGATGTTTAAATAAGACCTGACTAAACAATTCAATTTTCTTTGTTACCATATAATCATATCCCTAATCTTTACGAGATGTTTCTTAGGTGTTGCCCACAATCTGGAACATCCATCATGTTTAGTTTTGGCAAAGAAGTAAAATATAATAGTGGGACACGTTTATTCATGTGGATATTCTCAAGGGACCTAGCCTTAGAATTCTTAGAAAATTAACTGCCTAGGCTCTTGTACTCTGAGCTGGGCATTGACTGATTGAATAATTTTTAAAAATTCCATGCAGAATTAGGAAGATATGTTTGTGAATGTGCTACTGAATAGGTCTGAGCCAAAGGTTTGGAGACATAAGAGTGGACTCACCCAGATTAGCAGTGCCAGACGCTGACCAATTAAATTTCAACACTTCACAGTTCATCTTGGCAGATGCTCAGATCCTTACGTCAGGCAGCCATGGTGCAAGCCAGAAAGAGTGGTATTTTACAATAGTAAGATTCTGGTAACCCTTCCCATGAATGTGGGTTGCAGGATATCAATATTTATATTACTCCACAGAAAGCATGTTATATTTTATGATGCAGGGAAGTTAGGTGGCTTGCTTATGGGCCCCTGCATAGATGAATTGTCCCATGTTCAACAGGAAAAGCTTAAATTGCTGATGTTTGTCTTGTTATTTTCTTAAGACATTTTTCCAATTAAATATAATGAATAGAAATCTTGATGTCGCCAAAATGCATACGTCAACATTAAAGGATTAGATCTCTATTGAGCCAGGAAACACTAAAAGATGGACTACATTATAACTTCATCCTCTTCATCTTTGTAAAAACATAATTATACTAAAAGCTAATTTGGAAGAAGAGGATACAAGCATTTATGTCTTTCTTTGTAAATTTCTTGGCTCAAGTATGGCTGAGGTTATAGTATGTGCCCCACCCTCATCATACTCGAAAATGCTAAGTAATGAAGCACTCATGAATATTAATGACCTAAGAATGTGTTCTCAAAGAATTGAAGGATAGATAAAGGGAGGAGACAAAAGGGGGAATGAAAGCAGTTGAAGAACCCCTTGGCCAGTTTTATTTAGTCAAAGATGCCAGAAACATGTCATCATTTCTTCCCTAGATGACCCAGCCCACCTAATGATCCACTGATTGATAGCTGAAAGTGTGGTTCTGCTGCAAGGGCTCCACTGGTAGGCTCTTTTCAGGGTCTTATTGCTTACAGGGAAAAAAATAGAAAAGGAAACAATTTGCAGATCATCTTATGCTTATGTGTTTATGCTCACTTGAATTCTGCTTATGTATATAAATATTGCCAGATGTGGCTCTAGCTCCCTAGGAATGCCAGAGATTCTTTCCTGAAAAATTAACTCTTGGAATTATGGGATCATAGGTTATTTTGTGTGACACACCATAAAAAGATGGCTTTCATACGCCACACTCTTAAGCTTCCGTACAATCTCACTGAGTGGATTTTATATTGTTAATAAACACTATTCTGCAGGTGGAAAAAATGTGAATCGCTACTGGTATTTGTTTTGGTTAACATTTTGGTTTAGCAACATGGGAATTGTAATTCTCTGTCTAATGTTGTTCTAATTTCAATTATATTGTGCTGATAACTGACAAGTATTTACAGTCAATATGTATGACCTTTAAGGTTATTACATCTCCAGACTGTAGTGTTAATTCCTCTTCCCTTTTATCAGGAGACAGTTCTTAATTAATTAAATGCTGTCTTTTGTTGTTTCTTTCTATACTCTTCCTAGGTTTTTTACATGTTTTTAAAATATTTAGGAAGAGCACAGCTTTCTAGGTGTGGTCAGTCGCTAGAGTCGCTGGGAGGAAGCTGCACCTCCCCACTCGGTGGTCTGATGTAACCTGCGCATACTGTGCGAAAACATGCAGAAAGGGCTGACTGCAATTCACCTATACTGAATTCTTTCCGAAGGAAAAACAAAGCAGGTAAAATACTTTCTACTCAAAGGAAAGCAGAAGGTAAAGTTATTCAGGAGTGAATGAAAAGCTATGACTGATGTAAATTAAAGGCTTGTTACCAGACTGCCATTGTGAGAATATTCCAATTTGATCCTCTCTTGACCAATCTCATGATCGAAATTGTTTTGCTTATCCTCATTACAATGGAAAAAAAAGAGTCCATAGTTTTAGATTAAACCTAAAATAAATGGTAGCTATTATAATTCTTTAATATTATTTTGTACTCGATTTAAAAATAAATTATTATTTTACAAACCAAACACTAAAATATACACCTAAGATAATATCCAGTGGTGTGTTTTGGGGCAGAGTTGGGGATAGAGGTGTTGAGGATAATCTCACCTATAACGCCAACTTAGAACAATTTTTTCTTCTATTACCATCAAATTTTAGAGATGCAAGGGCCTTGTAGAAAATGAAAACAAAGCCCGAAGAAATTGAGGGACCTGCACAAGACTATTCAAACTATGTGGCAGAAATATAATTAAAGAGGAAGGACATTGATTCCTAAGAAGTTATTTCTACCACTGTTCCATTTTTTCTCTCTATGTGCAAATCTGTTATCACATGTTTAGAAATGATAAAGAAAGTTCCCACATGCTGTAGGCTGGGGCAAAAATTCCTAGGTCCAGTTCTTCAGTTTCTATTTCAGGGCCAATTATAGATTTTTTATTCACTAGGAGAATTCTAGGATTTTGGTGCAAATGAATGGTCACCATGGCCATTCCACTGATAAACTGGAGGAAGTGATGAACAAAAAGCCCTGAGTCTGACACAAAGTTTTATAATCCATACAAAAACAGAAATGCTTTGCCTAGTCTCGACTTGCTATCCAGACAGCTTTCAGTCCTCAGAAACTCTTTAGCTTATTCCATGTTTCACAGATAAAGTCTGTCCAGTATTGTCATAAGCTGGGTATGATTTATGTTTGCCTTGGACATTCTGTCTTCTTTTCATGTGGCTTAGACCACATGTATGATTCACTGGAGGTGCCATAACACCGATTTCATCCTGAAAGTTGACATCACATTCTTTTAGACACCATGAAAGCAGCATGTTTGGGATTAGGTCCTTTGGGCAAATAGACTTAAAGAAACCCCATCTAGGTAGTCCAAGATGCTGAGTAGCAAGCCCATGAAGAACCCAAGCTTGCCATTGCTTTGGCTTGCTGTAAGGTTGATAATTATTCTTATGAAAACTCACATCTGCCATGGTCAGAAGCATAACTCAGTCTTTCTGCAGTGAGAACAAAAACCACACGACATCAACAAACCCAGAGTAGAACTATGAACTTGACTTCTGTCATTGTAGCTTGTTCCCTTGGCTTCCGTTGCATCCTAATGATGGCAAAGTCTGAAGACCAATGCAGAATTTTACTATCTCACTTCATCATGATACCAACTTCCATCATCTCCAGGTCCAGTTAGCTTGGCAAGTTTTGTTGTTTCATTTGAAGATTTCCATTTTGAGCCCACTGATTTTTACAAATGCCTTGATGAAAATTCCTGACAAAGGCCTCACAGTGGTCTCCCTCCAGAACAGACGTTGTAAGGCGATTTCATTTTTAGACACCTAAAACAGAGCATTGGTTTCCATATAAATTTGGCTGCTGTTGGTATAGGTCATTGAGATGACATAAGTGCACTGGTGCAGCAGTTCCCCGGGTGCCCCACCCAGATCCCGTCACCCACTGGAGAGCCCATCCCCAACAGCTGCGGGTCGGTGTTAACAGGCTCACAGCTGCGACCTTTTCCAGAGGGTTGCCTGTGCACCTGTCAGGAGGTTCCTGGGAGGTTACAAACCCCTGCCCCCTACCCCACCATAAGCGACCTGTGACCCACGATTGCGTAATTAAGGATACTGAAACCCAGACCCTTGTCTTCCTTGGGACAGGTCAATGCTGCCATTCACATTCTTGATCTTTCTGTGGAATCAGGGCTGAGGCTACACTCTGGCTAAAGCCACATCTTTGCTTAGCTGCTTCTTGTGCTCTACCTGCTTTCCTTACTTCACTACAGGTTTCACCTTAGAGCGGTCTCTCAGCCAATCACATACACACAATCCCCACCTGACACTTTGCTTCTAGGAAATCTGACCTCAGCTGTCTAATTAACATCAAAAGATCTTCACCTCCTCCTCCTCTATTATTATTAATTATTTCTTGGTCTCTTAGGCACATCTGCAATGGATATAATATAGATATGATTTTCTCCAAGATAGTTGTTAATCAAAACAAACTTTTCTAATTTTGGATAGGCAGTTTGGTCATTTAATTAATTTTTTCTAGGTTTGGAAAAATATTAATTTTTTTAAATTAATAGGCTTGATTGTATAGGAAAGTTTTAAATTTACAGAAAAATTGATAAGATAGTGCAGAGTTCCCTACGCCCCAGACCATGTTCCTCTTATTATGTACATCTTACATTAGTATGGTATATTTGTTTTAATTAATGCACTATTATTGACAAAGTTTTGGTCATTTTAAAAATGAAAAATTAGTAGAATACAGCAAGGGAAATATATGTGTATTTTTTTATTAATGTATCGCACATTCTTTCTTTTTTTTTTTTGAGACAGAGTCTCACTTTGTTGCCCAGGCTAGAGTGAGTGCCGTGGTGTCAGCCTAGCTCACAGCAACCTCAAACTCCTGGGCTCAGCAATCCTACTGCCTCAGCCTCCCGAGTAGCTGGGACTACAGGCATGCGCCACCATGCCCGGCTAATTTTTTGTATATATATATTTTTAGTTGGTCAATTAATTTCTTTCTATTTTTGGTAGAGACAGGGTCTCGCTCAGGCTGGTTTCGAACTCCTGACCTTGAGCAATCCGCCCGCCTCAGCCTCCCAGAGTGCTAGGATTACAGGCGTGAGCCACCGCGCCAGGCGCACATTATTTCTTGATTTTTCCCTAACTGAATGGATTTATGGAAAAATTACTAGTGTGGAGAATCCAGAAATAAGGATGAAGACATCAGTAGTTTATACTTATTTGTAGATAAGGTTTATCTTCTTAGGTTTTTAGCAGAAGACAGTATTTTCTGAATATACTCCCAATTGATGTTTGCTGGGGGGGGGGATGGCCCATGTGTGTGATACATTTTTATTCATTTTTAATACTCATTCTTTGCTTATTTTTCATTCAACAAATATTTCCTCACTGTCTGTTGTGTGCTAGGCACAGTGTGAGGCACTGAAAATATAATCGTGAACAAGACATGCTTAGTCCCCATCCTCCTGGGGCCTAGTGTCCTCCTCATTTATAACTTTAATGTAGGAAGACAGAGAGAGGATGAAAGAAAATGGTAAATTAGAACTATCCTATTACAACTGAAGGTAAACTTTTACCACTTGTCTGGGTTTATGAGAAAAGTCATAAAAATATTATATAGGAACTTGCCAGAATTACCGCCCTTTTTTCATTAAAAATTTCGACCTGTCAATCCATGGCACATTGTAGGGGCTCAGTAAACATTTGAGGAATGAATACATGCCAAGTGACTTCATAATTTCTCTTTTCATACCTTTTTCTTACGTAGCAGTAAAAAATAGCAAGAAAACCACTTAATAGTAATCCAACTCCAATCCCAACTGCAATGTACTTTTCATGAGAATCCACAGCATATGAAGTTAATGTCAAGTGCTCACACCTTTCTCCAGTATAGCCAGTAAAACACCTTTTAAAAAAAGAAAAAAATGTATGATTTCAATGCCCATACAAAGAAATAACCTATTTCAAAAAATGAAAAAAAAAAAAAACTTCAATGGAAAGTAATTTAAATTAAAAAGGCAAATTCCAAACAAAAGCCAATAAATGAAGTCTCATATTTCCCCTCATTGGTAAAAGGGAAAGATAATATACTTGCATGAGTTAGTCTAGAAAATTGTTAGCCTACTTGTCCATAGAAGGATGCTGAGCAAATTAGTGATCATAAAAATAGTTCTGTTGTTGCTCTAGTCCAGAACTTTATATTCCTGAAATGTTTTTGCCTTAGTCTGTTTTATTTCATCCTACAAAAAACGCTGTGAAAACCTGGAACCACCTTTGTGTATTGTTAAAAATGCAGATTCCGAGTCAGTGCCGGGCTAGAGCGCAGACTCTGCATTTCTAACTCGCATCCGGGTTCCACAGATGCTGCTAATCTGGGAACCGTGTTTTTGAGTACTGAGGATTACATAGCTCAGAAAAAGGCTCCTTAGATATCCAAATATATTGAGGACTGGCAAGTCATGTTCAGATCATGCACCTGTTGTATTAGATAAGACAGAGGAGTATAGATATGTACTATATGAAACAACAGAGGCGTAAATTCACCTTGTCACATCTCTAGGACTTGGAAATTTCTTTGCAATTACCTGCAGAGGGCTTTCTCTAGTTCATGGTGGAATGCACAAACACCATTAATGCAGTAACTGTTTAGGTCTTCCAGGCAAGGGTGTGAGAACTTCAAGGCTATGGGTCCTTCTGTGCTGTCAGCTAAGAAAAGGATATACAATATTAACAGTTGAAGGGTGTCCTACTTTTATGGTAATTTAAAAATACTTATGTAAAGAGACTTTTTATTTTGAGAATATTTGAGGTGTGCACTTTGTCCTATTGATTCCGTCAGCAGTTTATATTTCCAAGGTTAGGTTAATGCCATCTATACATATCATTGGTCAATTAGGGGTGGACATGAATTGATGATTGTTCCATTGTTTGGAAGATACACCCTGAGGTATGGAGACAACGAGTTTGCCCAAGTTTGCCAAAAGGTGGCAGCATTGGTTCTAGTCTTAGGTTATGTTGAGCAACGCTTCCCAAATGCATCCTGACTGCTAATTAATACAGAAGATCTCACATGATCTCTTCATTTTCCCTCTGTTTACACCTGAGCAGTCATCATTTGGGAAGATTTGGATTTATGCTTGTGAAATAAAAAGCTAGATTTTCCTTCTCTCCCCAGGAGTAGAAAGTGGTGAAATTTCTCCTTACTCTTACACAAACTACCATGAAGAGTTAATTGAAAAGGGGACAATTTCCCTAACTGACTTCATAAAGAGATATTGTTATGACCTATACAAGAAGCCAGAAACAACTTATGGCTTTATATTATGGCTCAGACTTAATAAATAGTTAATGACAATACCTTCAAATAGTAATTTAAAATTTTACTCAATTAAGAGGCATTGTTAAATAGTGGAAAAAGCCATGGACTTGGAATTAGAAAACCTGGGTTTTATTTCTAGTTCCAACACTATGTAAGTAACCACACTGGGCAAAATTTTTGTAGTCAAGTGTCCAGAAACCACCTTCAGGGAAACCTTCCTTGGAAAATTGTGTTCTATCAAAATGTGTATTACATTCAGGAGAGTAACTGCTGACAATTTTTCCTTCTCTCATTTGCTCCCCTTCCTTTTTTTAAAAAGACAATTCTTTGCTGACATACTGATCTGTCACTTCAGTTTAATAGCATCTTGCTAAAAGAGTTGATTATCTAATAACAAAATTATATTTAAAATTGCCAATGTTCCTTTTATACAATCCAAATTTCTCTCATAAGTTTTAAGAAAAGTTACTTGAAGTACAAAAATGGGAAGAAAATACCTTCTGTTTTGTTAACTGTCCAGTTAGCTTGCGGGGCTGTGATTGCAGGTGTGAATGCTGCAGCTGCCTCTTGACTCAATGCTGCCATTGCTATATTAAGGGTAGAAAAAGCATCTTTAACAGACAAGCTCCTTCTGTGTACAAGCAACAGATGGAAAATATTCTTATTCTGTTTATTCCTATTTCTAGTTTTAAATTTATTGCAGTTGTAATCCATATCCTGACTAGGGCAATTTCCTTACTGTTTCTCATCCGTTCCTGGACTATAGTATAATTATAAAAAATAAAACCATCACTTTTTATAAAAGAAAGTTAATACATTTATATACTCATTCCATCATAAGGGAACTCAAGTATCATAGCTAAATTTACCAATTACCCTTCAATTATCTGAAAAGCAAACATTTTGGAGGTCTCAAAAAAGTTGGCCAAATAGATCAGGAGAGGAACATACATTGCAGAAGAAACTAAATTAATCCACAGATTCCTTACTCTGATCTTTTTCATAAAGAACAATTGTTAGAAGCCAACTTCTCTCTAATACAGAGAGTATACATCCTATTCATATTTTACAGTGATTTAAAGTTAACAAGACAAAAAAGGAAATCACCTACCATTGAATAAAAGATAGACTGATATTGGAACTCCCAAAGCCATTTCCTGTAGTTGCTTAACTTTCTTTCTCTTATCCTCCCAGACTGACGGGTGGAAGGTTTTTATTTGAGCTCTGTGAGTCTTCTTGCATTTATATTTCATGAAGCGTCATCGGGCAGTTCTTACTAATCAAAAAAATATGTACTTCTGGCAGCAAGAGAGAGCCTTCAGGCGCTCACACACTTGTTTAGGATACTTGTGTTATCTAGTGATGTGATCAGGTTTTCTTTTGAAACACTGGTTTCCTATTACCTGTGGGCATAATCGTGTATATAAAAGTACTTAAAACAACAAAATATATATATATATATATACACATATATATATATATGCATTCAGGAAAGGCACCATTGGTGTGCACAGAACTATACCAGCTCACATGATGCTAGCAACCTATATAGGAATCCAACAAAAATAATTGCAAATTAGAAAACAGCATAACCTGTTAATAAAATAAATATTCCTGCAATTACAGTCAGTAACAGTATCTTTCATTACAGACTATGAGCTCCATTGCAAATCAAGGCATTTTGTATTAATTTGGTTGCAGGGGAGAACAGTTAAATTTATGTATAAAAGAGAGGTTTAATATTCCATATTCGTTTTTGTTGTTCAGTTTTACTATGACAAGTTCTGTATGTATAATTATATTTAATAGTACAACATTCACCTTTAAAGTCATTCTACTGTTTAACATTTTTCTGAGTAAATGGAATGGGCCACGAAGTTCCAGGAGCAACAGTGCCTTAATCTGTGTCCTAACAATTAGGCTAGAGAGGACCAGTAAAGTACCCAAATAACAATAGCAATAACAATACTATTAAGATTCTCAAGGTAACATTTAGTTTGGGTGCCTCTAATGAATGGAAAGTTTTAAACAACACAACATTCACATTTTTCTCAGTATTTATCTACTTATAATTATTTAAGGTGCTGTTTTAAAGGCTGAAGTATGTAAGTACTATTACATTTTCTGACTACAGAAATTTTCACTTGTCCCAAGTTACTGTAAATAACTTACACATATATTTGGCTGAGGTGTTGTGCCTTTTGACTTAGAATTGCAATTGCTCATATTTTCTGTACTGTGAAAACTTGCTCGAGTCAATATAGACTGTCATTTGCATCATGTCTACCAAACAAATTAGATTTACCAGAAAGGATGTCTTTCAGTATTCAAATATGAATTTGACTTTAGAAATCACACAAGAATGAGCTTGTTGAACTCATTATAACTTGGGCAATCACTTACTATAGGAGTTATCATTTTAAAGTTAAAAAAATCTGTAGTACTTGGCTCCTTTTAAATATGCCTACATTTTGTATTTGTACTTTTATGGAGTTTTTAAAAACCATTTATTATCATTATTATTATTAATATTATTTTTGAGACAGAGTGTCACTCTGTTGCCGCGGCTAGAGTGCCGTGGCATCAGCCTAACTCACAGCAACCTCAAACTCCTGGACTCAAGCAATTCTTCTGCCTCAGCCTCCCAAGTAGCTGGGACTACAGGCATGCGCCACTTGCCCGGCTAATTTTTTCTATATATATTAGTTGGTCAATTAATTTATTTCTATTTATAGTAGAGACAGGGTCTCGCTCTTGCTCAGGCTTGTTTCGAACTCCTGACCTTGAGTGATTCACACGCTTCTGGCTTCCCAGATTGCTAGGATTATAGGTGTGAGCCACCGCGCCCATCCAAAACCATTTATTATTAAGTCAATTTCTGGACAATATTTTCCCCAGGTGAATAACATTTGAATTATAAATTGAATAATCCTCAATACACCACTGGTGAGAATTTAAGGAGAAATCCTTTACAAAAGATTACAACTCCTTTTAAAGTTTCTGGAGGAAGATGTTAGGACATATTAAATATCTTTATTTTGTGGACCAAGACATAGAAATACAAATATCATCTTAGTATAAGCTATTAATCAGAGCTAGCATAGGACTTTACACTTCACAGGTTTTCATGCACTTCTCAATTCTTTCTTCCGTAATCCTGGCCCAAACAAATCTGGTGCCTAACATGTAGTAAATACTCAATGAATCTGTATTGAGTGAATAAATAAATAAATAACAGGGTCTATTTTTATTCTCAGATGATAAATGAGGAACAGAGGCCCCAAAGAATTAATTGATTTGTGAAAAGGCATGCCTCACAGTCCAGACTGCAATCCCATGTTTTAGGGTCTAAACCATATGCCCTTCCCACTTCCCTCCTAGTGTCCTCTTGTAGGAATTGGTGCACTGATCTCAGAGGAAGTCCCTTATTTTCTCCTAAAATCAAGCTTTAAATAAATTACCCTTATCACAAAAAACCAAATAGTAAATTAATATTTAATGTGGTTTTCACTCATAACTGGGCTAAGAGAGATGAACCACTGCCTTTCTAGATGTGTACCCGCTCTTGCATAAGATTTAGACTAGAAAGTAGCTGTAATACCCACATGCTGCTTTTCCTCTGGGGCCCATACTGGTAGATCCCACTTACACTCTTTGCAGAAAAGTCTAGTACTTTCACTTCTTCAATCCTCTCACCAAAAAGTTCTTTCTCCCAATCCTAAAGAATAGGGGAGATGGGTATCATAAGGTGGCCTCCCTGATACCTTTATTCATTCTTAATACAGATTAAAGCCCGTTAGAATGATAAAGGAGAGGGAAATGAGAGGCTATCAGCTCACTATTGCTTTCCTCCTTGTACTACTGTTTCAGTCTTTTTGATTTACTCATTCCTTCCCTCCCTATCTTTTTTCCTTCCCTTTTCACTAACTCATTCATTTATTCATAACATATTGAATGCCTATGACATTCATGGCACTGGGCTGGGTGTTGCGATGCTTATAAGACAAATAGACACACCATGCATGGACCTCAAGGAACTAAAGGGAGGCCGGGACAGTATATATTGAACTGCTGTGCTGGGTAGGGAGTGGAAGCTGCCCCGAACACATGCGAGAAGGGCTCCGAGAGCAGGGAGCTCCAGCTCCCACGGCATTTTCACGGGCAAGTTTCATTTGAGGTCAATCTTAAATAACAAACAGGATTTAGACATGCATTAATAAGAGAAGGGTTCTAGGCGGGGGGAGGGCACAGAGGGGAAGCAGAGTGGAGGTGAAAAGAGCGGGCTGTTGCTCACATCTCCCAGCATAGCGTTTTGAATTCACACCCTCCTCATCTATCAAATGGATACCGTCAATAAGGAGCAGAGACAAAAAATTAAAATAAAAAGGAAAGAATTTAGCATATGATACATACTCAATTAAGGATAACTGTCAACTACTGAACAAGTCTAGGAAGACACAGGCGTATGTAATGGTCATCAAGAAGGTCAGGAATTTAGTGGGGAATATACGCCGGCAAATTCTAAAATTTCATCACTAGCTATGAGTTCCTAGCCTCTTCCCAGATTGATATGACTTCAGCATTCTTATTTATGTATTATGTCATCACCTCAAACTCAACATGTCTTAAACTGAACGTATTATGTCTTCTCCAAAGTCAGCTCCCCTTTCAACTGCTTCGTGTTAGTCAGTGATAACATCTTCTAACTACAATTCTTGTAACTTACTAAATGTGATCTAAAATCTGATTAATCTCAGCTTCCTGTAATTTACTTTTGCATACTTATTCAGCTGTACCACCCTCCAAAACACACCCTTCATTTTAGTCTGACTGCCACCCTTGCTTTCATACGTCTATGCTAAGCTCATTCTCACATCCGTAACTTGCATTATTATTCCTTAGGGTTCTCTTTTCAGGCGCTTTACAGATGCAGATATAGGAGACAAAACCTTCCTCTAAGCTCTCCACAGAGCCATCAAATGTCTATATTTTAGGGACCTCAAATATCCATAAAGTCATAGTACCATGAATTTCTCTCTTTTATATGTCGACAAATAATCCCTCTTTCACTGAACTTTAGTCAGGTCCTGTGGTCCCTTTCCTTGACCAGGTCTTGACCTTGACCCACTGAGCCCAGTTTTAGCAAAGAATCCTCCTGCCCTTACTATCTGATCAAGTTTCTCATCCCTTATCTTTGGTATCTAAGTCTTTGGCCTGACATTCTCAAGACTCCTGATAGCCAGTTTAGCAAGACTCCTCCTACCCTTGATATCTAATCAAATTCCTCTTAGTAATTTTTCATCCACTTACCCCATATCTCTGCTCTTTGGCTATAAATCCCCAGCTGTCTTTGTTAATTCAGAGTTAAGTTCAATCTCTCTCCTCTATTGTAATAGTCTTAAATAAAGTCTTCATTACTGTTTTAAACAAGTGTCATAATAATTTTTATTCTACAGTGTTTTAATTTGTATCTGGGAAGTCTGACTCCTGATTGTTACAAAATAAACACTCCTGCATCACTGAGGGAGTGGAGCTCAAAATTATTGTCTTCATGTTTTCCATGTACATGAACATTGTTCATTGTATTTATTTGGGGGTTAGGGTACTTTAAAAATTAAAGAGGCCCTTTCCAAAATGTTTTCTTGGGAGCTTTGAATTTCAACTTCTGTTGGGCATATCAGACAAAGATTGGGATGGACTAATTGTGGAACATACTATAGAACCTTTTCTTTCATGTTTTAGAAACTTATGTATTTCTCCAGCATGAAGCAAAGATATGGGTAAAAATATATGAACAGAGAAATTTATAGCTATCTTAAGAAAAAAGAAGAATACAGCTATTCTTCAAATTGCTTTTATTATACAGTTGAAATGTTGTTAATTATAAACATCTAGTCTATTTTCACACAAATGATCAAGAGTACACACTGATAAAGACATGCCTTGGGTAATAATAATTATTGGTACATAAATATACTGGGATTTGTGCACGAAAACACAGTAGCAATTACATGGCTCCAGTAGACTCAAAATAGATTTTAATGGAATTCACATGTATTTCATTATTTGAATTGTGTTAGAAACATTGCATCTACTTTGAGGACCAAATGCCATAACAGAAGAGGGAAGAACTGTGGGCAGGAAAGCAGTAGTAGGTCTTTAGTTGTATCATAAGATTTAGTTCTGGCACATTGAAAGTATCATGTTTTCCTATTAGATTTCTGAATTTGTGAACAAACTTAGCAGTAGCAGTTGCTATTCTTTAATGATGACCTCACATATTTGTCTGATACTTGTGGGAAAATTACAACTTTAGTTTAGTTTTGTGTATTTATTTATGATTGGATTTTTCCATTATTGCTTGGTGAAGGTACTGTCCAAATATTTTTTAGAAGAAAAAAGAAATGAAACGTAAACCTAACATATTATTCATATACTTTTACTATGGCAGGTAGTCATTTATGATATGATAGAATCATTACTTTCCAAGTAGCATTGCATTTTTTGCCTTCCTGGAATGTTTTTATTTCCTTAAATAGAACATCATTTCTCAGTAGGATGCATTTGGGAGATATCTAAGATCAAGATTTTCTTTTCAATATTCTGTCTTTCTTTTAGCAAGTTAAGTTCTTTTTAAGCTTATGACATAGATCTTAATATATTAAAATTTTGAGCATTCCATGGCAAAACTTAAATTACAAGTTACATGATTGCCCATTTGGTTGACGAGACATTTGTTGAAAACATACTGTGTGTGATATTTAATTGTGTCAAAAATATATTTATTATGAGCCCTTTATTGTTTTAACAGTATGAACAAATATCCTCAAAATAAACAACTGTTACCAAAATTTTCATTGGAATTGCTTTGTATTTTCCTGAAACTCAAAATAAGTTATCAGGAAATGCATAAAGTTATGTGAATCATGTGATCCACAACAATTCCATTCATGAAAAAATAAATACAATGCAGGAATAAATAGCTTTGTAGTAAAATATAAAGGTTTTGGTTCTTGTCAAATAAATAAATACATGGCTTCAGTTTGCTTTATTCTGTCATATGATCTAATAAATTATTTTTTTAGCTGCTAGCAGGGTGTTCTTCAGAAGCATTGCCACCGTCATGGGTCCCACACCGCCCGGAACCGGAGTGATAAAGCTAGCTTTCTTCTTAACAGCTGATAGAGAAAACAGACAGTATTCTTTAGTTTCAAATTTATCTGAGAATTTTTTATTTGTAAACATGCTTAATGTCATGAAGTTTTCTACATTACACATATAACTCTAACAACCTCAGATCATTTTTATAATAAGATAGGCTCTGATGCACACACACACACACACACACACACATGCTCAGCTAGACAAATACTTCTGTGTATGACATTTAAGGTGCACCAAAGAAACATGATGGGACCAAGACTGTAGCTTAAATCTACATGTAGCTCTGTTAGTTTTACTTAAAGAAAAGCTGTAACCTATGACTGAACAAATTACTTGTAATTCTAATTAACTACTTCTAAAACACATGATATTGGTCAGGAAAAGGAGACAGAATATAGACAGTTTAGCAAATACCATTCATTAAATTAAATTATTCCTGTTATAACAATATCACCATGTATGTGTGGATAATAAATTCCAGTATAATCTAATAAATATCATTAAATATATTTGAATTACTGAGTACATATACAGTCCTGTTCAAAGATATAAAGACTTCTCATTCAGTGAATATAGATGGTCCCTGCCTTATGATGGTTTGACTTATGACTTTTTGATTACAACAGTGTAAAAGTCATATATATTCACTAGAAACCATATTTCAAATTTTGAATTTTAATCTTTTCCCAGGCTAGTGATGAGTGATTCAATACTCTCTCTTATGCTGGGCAGTGGCAGTGAGTCGAAGGCCCCAGTCATCCATGCGGTCACAAAGGTGAACAACAAATACTCTAGGGTGTCTTGCATTGCCAGGTGATTTGAGAAGCTATAGGCTAATCTAAGCATTCTGGGCATGTTTAAGACAGGCGAGGCTAAGCTGTGATGTTTGGTAGGTTAGATGTATTAAATGCATTTTAAATTTATAACACTTTTCACTTAAGATGGGTTTATCAAGACATAACAACATCATAAGTTGAGCATCTGTATACTCAAAGAAGTACTTTTATAAGTTTGTTCATATACACTTCTACATGCATCAAAACCAACAGATGTTTCTAGAGCTTAAATATTATTTTTGCACAATGTATACTACTCTCTTAAAAGGTGGTTTGTGATATGTACCTTTATTTAATGTGGAATAGTACATTGGAATAATTTTTTTAATCATAGGAAAAGCAAATGAATAATATTGTTTTACTTGAACAAAAGTCCGAATAAGCTTAAATACATAACCAAAAAAAAAAAAAATCAAGCAAATGTGTGTCATAAATCTTCTGATGGTATGTTATATAGAAAAGATAAGAATATTGTGATTTGGAAGGTGATATTTCAGTTTTCCAAAAAGCCTCTCTGTGCATGGAGCACACGTCCTTTCCATTGCCATATGGAATGTGTACTCTGTGCTGCAGACATTAGACTGGGTTCATGCCAATCCATAAATAGCAATGAATTTTTAGTCCTTTCTTCCTGCTCTAACTGTCCCTTCTACCTGGAACATTCTTTCACCTTATCCAAACAAGAAACTCCTTATTGTTCTTTAAAAGCCAATAAAATGTCGCCTCTCTATAATTTTTCTCAAAACTCACTCCTCCAATATAGAATTTAAAGTTCCACCATGTACTTTTCCAATAATTTTATACCTATTCTGCATTGTCTGTTCCCCTAAGTAGATACCAGCACCTAGAAGGCAGAAGCCAAGTTGTTGTGATTATTGCTTTTAATCTTAGAACTTCTCCACGTATAGGTTAGGCACTCAGTAAATTTTGATAAAGTGAACTAAACTGCCCTTATTTAAAATCTAAAATCAATTTGCAACAATGTGTCCATGCTTTTGACTGGATATAAGCAATATCAATTTAGTTGAAGATAACTCACTGAACAACTCAAGCTACTTGTTTTGCCCAAGGGGATAAGCTTCATTTTGCACTTTTCAGTAAGGTGAATTGAGGGGCTGAGCACAGACCTTTTCCTAAGCCCTGGAGAAGAAAATGCCTTTAAAACTTCCGCAGGTCTTTAGAAGAAACCTACTTCTACTACTGGGATTTATACTAACAATATAAAATCCTGTACTTGCACAGCATTAACTTTGCAATAGTAATACATAAAAATAAAACACTGCTGGGTAATATGGTAAATTAAAAATCAAATGTGAACTAAATCTTCAATAGAAAACAAAATGGTTTATTTTAAAATAAAAAAGTGGAATAAAAGTTGTTGTATCTGGCCAGGCGCGGTGGCTCACGCCTGTAATCCTAGCACTCTGGGAGGCCGAGGCGGGCGGATTGCTCATGGTCAGGAGTTCGAAACCAGCCTGAGCAAGAGTGAGACCCCGTCTCTATTATAAATAGAAAGAAAATTAATTGGCCAACTAATATATATAGAAAAAAAATTAGCCGGGCATAGTGGCGCATGCCTGTAGTCCCAGCTACTTGGGAGGCTGAGGCAGCAGGATTGCTTGAACCAAGGAGTTTGAGGTTGCTGTGAGCCAGGCTGACGCCACGGCACTCACTCTAGCCTGGGAACAACAAGTGAGACTCTGTCTCAAAAAAAAAAAAAAAAAAAGTTGTTGTATCAGGGAATATATGGTGCCTATGTAATTATTTTTATATAGTTTGGTTTTCAACTTTGAAAGATAAAGTGGCTTAGATATTATTTACATATGAAAAATAGTAATAATCATAGCTAATATCAATTAGTATCTATTACTTGCCAAGAACTTTATGTACACTATTTTAAAATTAATATTTAATGATGTCATTTTAATAGATAAGGAAAATGTGGCTCACTGCAATTTCAGTGACTTACCACTGTCTCATATGGTAGAGACAATATTCTCAGCAGGTTTGAAACATTCTGTAATTCCATGATTTCACCCCATCTCAATGCAACTGCAGTATCACTACCTGAGCAACTAGAAAAATCCCAAGAATGGCTCAAGTGCCAGAAATGAACTCAATTGTCTCAAAGTGTTAGAAGGATATTCTTTTTAAAAAGGAAACTAAGAAGAAAGATTCTAATATATTAATTTCCCATATTCTTACTATTAGTATTCATAACTCATCATCTTTGAATTACATCTTACACTTCAAGTTATACAACTGGCTTAGCAGTCTTAGGCTCTTACTCCTTCTGTCAGATCAGATAAACCACTGAACTTTCCTCTTCCAAATTAGTTTTTCACATAACATGCTTACTATTGCATTCTTTTGCTCAAAAAGTGAAGTATGGGTGGAGGATCAGGGAATAGGAATGAGCGGTTACATGAAATAACACCTGCCCGAAATGCACAATTTTTTAGCTCAATGTCTGCATTTTTGCACACTTTACTGGTAGAAACCAACACATACTCACCCTGTGCTGCCTATCACTTCATAGGATTAGACTATGTGATGGGTAAAGGGTCTCCACCTGACCCGGGCGAGGGCTTCTCTGGACATTAATAAGCATTTAGCAGCATCAGTGGAGCCCTCCAAAATACTCACCAGGCAGAAGATAATATTATTAACATATCTAGTTATTTAAATATTTCTGTTTTTAATCTTTGAGATAAAGTAAATAGCTATGAAGGTAAGTTTATACCTACTCATGAAAGGAAGAGAGTGATGAATTTGATTTAAAAATTATTAGGTCTTCCGATATTATTTTCATGAGTATCTGTGTGAGAAAGAAACATCAGCTTATCTGCTGCTGGCTAGTGTTAATGTAACTTTGTCTATTTAGAAGGATCAGGATATGGAAGTGATTTCTCAAGAAGGGGAGAATTATTGGCAAATGCCAGTGGGTACAGGTGCTAATGCTTTAAAAAATTTTCTAGTCTAATAATTTTTGCGTAATTATTTCGGGGCTATCCTCAGCAATTTGTTTACAAAATACCAGAGGTGGCTTATTAGCTAAAATTAGTCATGTGAGAAAGAGTTAAATTTAATTCATGCCTGATGCTCTACGAAGCATCTGCTCCAATCATGTCTGAAAAAAGTTAACCAGTATTGCATCACCAGAAATAACCTCTCATTGGCTGGTCTTTCCCTGAGGGCAGACAAGGTTTTGTACCTGCTTGAAGAAAATGATGCTTTTAAAGATTAATCTTATTATGTGTGGGGAAAGGTGTTCTATATGCTCCATTGAAAGAAATATGGAAGCATTATAGCGCAGTAATTTCCTTCAGACTTAATCATGGAGGATATATGTGTTTTAAGGGAAATACCAAAAGTTTTGTATGTGTGAGAGCACAGCTATTATTAATAGATCTTGATTGAGATCAGCATTTTCATTAAAGGCTAATGAACACATATGGCAAAACCACGATTAGATTCAATTTCACAAAGTCAACATGATTTTAGAGTTAACTGAGACTGACAATTGAGGCAAATAAAGCAATCACCAGTTCCTATTGCCTGCATGGAAATTGCTCTGTGGAATGAAACTTAGAAATGACATGGTAATGTTAAATCTGGTTCTTGAAAATAAGAATATTTTGAGGAAAGGCAATAATTATCATGATAATTTATTTGAATGACTTCTGCAAACTTTAGACCCTGCAAAGTAAATTTCATTGATTTCCGTGAAAGTGCTAGTTACGAGTGCCTACGTGCAGTTGTATAGAAAGAAAAGAGACTACTGTTTAAAATCAGTCGTTTTAGATGTCAGATTTGCCTTTATACAGACTATTTTCATTGTCTAACAGGCCTTTCACTCACTTTTCCATTTAATGAATATTCTTCCTTCTCAGATCTATATAAATGTCACTTCCTTTGTGGAACCTGTTAGCTCCTAGGCGGAGTTAACTGTGCATTCTTTTATCTGTGCAACTTGGTAGCGTGATTTTCAATTTGCAGTCACAGAGTATGTGGGAATCTCCTGTGAAATGAAGCCAAACTATATGTGCTCCTCCCACCCAAGAATCCAAGAATTCTTTGGGCCAGGGCGCGGTCTTTTTCACGGCCTGAATCTGCACTCTGGGGGCGGGGCGGCGGATGCTCGATGGTTTTCAGGGAAGTTCGAAAACAAGCCTGAA